CTGCCCCCCAACCCCAGGGCCCAGGGCACCTTCCTCAGCATTTTCGTGTGTTGCCCGTCGCCGGGTTGCCACGGTTACTGTTGCCAAGTCAGCCGGCCTCATCACCAGCCCCTCTGGGGTGGGGGGTCCGGGGGCTGCCCTAGGCTGAGGACAGTCTGGGCTCCCCATGGCCCAGTCACTCCCTGGCCTGGGTCTGTCTGGACCCTGCCCCCAAACACCCCCTCCCGTGCTCTGCTTCCCACATTGCCCGAGCCCCCACCCTGCCACTCGCTCTGTACCCCACAGCTACACCCCACTTCCCCTGCCATGCTCCCTGGGCTGGGAGGAACCCAGGAGTCCTGGCTCCCAGCCCCCCCGCTCTGACCACCAACCCCGACTCCCCTCCCAGAGCCAGCGAGAGAACCCAGGAGTCCTGGCTCCCAGCCCCCCCATCAGGGCAGGTCACTGTGACCCCTACAGCTGGGCAGTGGCTTCACATGCAGCTTCCAGGTGTCCCACTAGGGGGCAGCGTTTCCCTAGGACTCCGGCCCTCCCCACGCACTTGTGCAAAGGGGCTGTGGGTGAGGCTGGGCCGGGCCCTGCTGGGGGGGCTGTGTGTGTGTGTGGGGGGGGACATGCAGGGTGCGCCTGCCCCAGACTCTCCCGGGCTCGGGCGGGGAGGGGGGAGCCAGGCTCTGCTCCCCCGGAAGAATAGCCGGCCTGGCCCAGCCCAGCTGCTGAGAGTGGGGGGGGAGGGGAAGGGGGCTGTGATTGATGGGGGGCCTTTGAGCCCACTCGGCCCCACAGCAGCTGCCTCCCGTCACAGTGAAGAGACCCCGTCAGTCAGGGGGGCCCTGCAGTGGGGGGGAGGGGAACAGAGTGGGGGGATGGGAGGAAAGCCTAGATAGATAGATAGATAGATAGATAGATACGGGGTGTCTGGGGGTAGATGGGGGAGTCTGGGGGTAGATGGGGGGAGTACGGGGAGGGATAGATAGATATGGGGTGTCTGGGGACAGATGGGGTGGATGGGGCTAGGCGGAGGGGCGACTGCTATACACACACAAGGGTGGATGCGGAGGATCGATAGCTAGATGGGGTGCACCCCCTTAGATCGGTGTCTATGGGGCTGGCTACTTCTCACCCCGCACATGGGTCCTCTCTCCTGGCCCCAGGGCAGCCCTCCCAAAGCTGGGGCTGGAATCCAGGTGTCCTGAGCGCCCCCCCCCCCACCTCCCCGCCTAGCTCTGAGCCCTGGCTGAGTGGCTGGCTGCTCTCTGACCCCCATGTCCTTTCCCAGCCCCCACCAGGCCTGGGGGAGGGGAGGGGAGAGATTTAAAGAGACAGGAGCGGATGTGGCCATCTGAACTTCCACCCAGACCCCTCCCCATGTCCAGGGGCCTCCACAGGCGGGGCCTGCCCCAGAGGCCCCTGAGAGAGACTGTCCTTGCCCACCATGCACTCACAGGCCGGATAGACAATTAGATGGGAAACTGAGGCACAAAGAGATGGGACTTGCCCCTGCATGCAACCACTAGACCCCACTCCCTGCCTAGAGCCACGGAGAGAACCCAGGAGTCCTGGCTCTCAGCCCCCCTGCTCTAACCCACCGGCCCCCACTCCCTTCCGAGAGCCAGGGAGAGAACCCAGGAGTTCTGGCTCTCTGGCAGGGCGATGTGGGGGGGGGACGGGGACGGTGCCTACAGGCCGCTTTCCTCGGCAGGAGAAAAACATGACCTAATTGGGGACTGACCCCAGGCGACCCCCGGCTGGCAGTGCAGATCTGGTGCTCACTGAGCTAATAGCCCGTCCCATCCCTCGTTAGCTGCACCCCACCCCCCGCTCAGCGCCCCCCGGGTGGGAAACGTGTGGTTTAGAACAGGGAGAGCTAAGTGCCAGGACTCCTGGGTTCTCTCCCCGGCTCTGGGAGGGGAGTGAGGGCTGGTGGGTTAGAGTGGGGGGGCTGGGAGCCAGGACACCTGGGTTCTCTCCCCAGCTCTGGGAGGGGAGTGGGGGCTGGTGGTTTCGGGCGGGAGCCAGGACACCTGGGTTCTGGTCCAAGTCACTCCCCTCCCATCCCCGACCTGGGGCCCGATCCTAACCAGCGCCCCCTTGAGGGAAAACCCCCCACCCTACCCCCACGAGCTGCCCATCCACGGGCCCCCACCCCTACTGCAGCTTCTGCAGCTACTTCTGCCACTAGCCATGTTGTGTGAGGCCGTTATGTGAACGGATCTGACAGCAGGCGGCGCGGCCCCCCCCACCGCCTCCCCCCAGGGCAGAGTCTGTCCCCTGCACGATGGATCTAATGAGGCTTCAGAGCCCCCCCCACTCCACATGCAGCCCTCTGGTGCTGGGGGAGGGGGGTGGCAAACGCCTGGATTTCGGCTGCAGCTTGGGCTGGCTTAGATCAGCTGGGAACAGAGGCAGCCCCCCCCCCCTCATATCCAGGGCCCTTGGCAGGGTGAAGCAGTGACAGGGACTTGGGGGGAGAGAGACACCAGGCAAAAACGCACTGAGAAAGAAAGAGCGGGGGGTGGGTGGCAGGGAATGGAGCAGGGGGCCTGTCCCCTCTGGGGGGAGCCAGCTCCCATCCTGCTCCAGGGTGGGGACTAGCTGGCTCAGGGGGGTGGGGAACGGGATATGGGAACTTTCCTCTCTTGGGGTCACCAGCAGTGATCCAACCCCAGGTGCCCCCCAGACTAGCAATATGAACCCCCCAGTGAATATTCCCCCCTCGCTGAGAGAAAGGGGGGAGCGTATGGAAATAGAGTGATAGAGAGATGGTGCAATGGGAATAGATAGGGAGACAGACAGAGGGTGCGAACGGGAATAGACCGACAGACAGACAGACAGACAGGCAGAGGGTGCGAATGGGAATAGACAGACAGGGAGTGCGTGTGGGAATAGACAGAGAGACGGCAGAGAGACGGGATATGAACGGGAATAGATAGATAGACAGAGACAGACAGTCAGAGGGTGCAAACGGGAATGAACTGACAGAGAGACGGGATATGAATGGGAATAGACAGATAGAGACAGACAGACAGGCAGAGGGTGCAAACAGGAATAGACAGACAGGCAGAGGGTGCAAACGGGAATGGACAGACAGAGAGTGCGTGTGGGAATAGACAGAGAGACAGGCAGAGAGACGGGATATGAACGGGAATAGATAGACAGAGACAGACAGACAGAGCGTGTGAACGGGAATAGACAGACAGAGAGTGCGTGTGGGAATAGGCAGAGAGACAGGATATGAACGGGAATAGACAGACAGAGACAGGCAGAGGGTGCGAACGGGAATGGACCGACAGACAAGACAGGCAGAGGGTGTGAACAGGAATAGACGGACAGACAGACAGGCAGAGGGTGCGAAGTGGAATAGACCGACAGACAGACAGGCAGAGGGTGCGAACGGGAATAGACGGACAGACAAGACAGGCAGAGGGTGCGAACGGGAATAGACGGACAGATAGACAGGCAGAGGGTGCGAACGGGAAGAGACGGACAGACAGACAGGCAGAGGGTGCGAACGGAAACAGGCGGACAGACAAGACAGGCAGAGGGTGCGAACAGGAATAGACCGACAGACAGACAGGCAGAGGGTGCGAAGTGGAATAGACCGACAGACAGACAGGCAGAGGGTGCGAACGGGAATAGACGGACAGACAAGACAGGCAGAGGGTGCGAACGGGAATGGACCGACAGACAAGACAGGCAGAGGGTGCGAACGGGAATAGACGGACAGATAGACAGGCAGAGGGTGCGAATGGAAACAGACGGACAGACAAGACAGGCAGAGGGTGCGAACAGGAATAGACCAACAGACAGACAGGCAGAGGGTGCGAAGTGGAATAGACCGACAGACAGACAGGCAGAGGGTGCGAACGGGAACAGACAGACAGACTGACACAGATCATTTAGAAGGATGTATTTTTATGTATTTTCCAGGTGTGAAATTCCAGCCTCAGCAGGTCCCAGGCGAGGTATGTGCAGGTCGATTGATAGAACACGTCTTTGCCCCCCCACAACGCCCCCCACCCAAGTGCCCTGCACTGCCTGGTGGCTGCTCTCTGCAGCAGGCGCATTTCGATTCCCCGCTGGGCTGAGCCTGCACCTCTGGAGAGCCCAGCAGGAGCCGTTACCTCACTCCAGGGACCAGCTCCAGGCTAGGCCAGTTCATCCCCTGTGGCCCCCCATGATCCAGTGTCCCCTCGAGCCAGCCCAGCTATTGTTTCATTGCTTCACCATCGAAACTTTGTGCCTAATTTCTAGTATGAACGTGTCTAGCTTCAGTTTCCAGCCGGAGCTTGGCCACGATCGCGGCGCTCGGCCGGACCCCTCTCCACCATCCCCTCTCCAAGGCGCGGGAATGACTTGTCCCCATCACTTTTGGCTTCTAGGCCAAGCCGCTTTGCCACGCTCGCCCGAAGGCGGCTTTCTCGGGCTCGGCTTTGGAAGGACCTGGCCACCTTTCGGGCCCACTGTATCCCATGATCCCCACTAGCTGTGCCTGGCGACACGTAGACCCGCCCAACCCCAGAAAGTTCCCACAGCCCGCTGGGAGATCCCAGATCCCGTGCGGGGCACCGGCCCTGAACTATTAAAAAAATAGATTAACACGTTACGAGGCCAGTCGGGCCCCGTGTAACTACCCCGTCTAACCCCGGCTGGATAGCAGTAGATCTGTCAGGGCAACCGCCCGGCGTGATGCAAAGTAGCACCAGAACCGGACCCAGGAGCGCAGGGTCCCCCACCAAATCACCTCTTTACTCCTGTTTATCGTGAAGTGAAGCAGCTTAAACTGGTATAAATGTGCATGATGCCTTTCCCGGGCATCGTTTTTCCCTATTATTTGGAGCGGGAAAACACCTTGTAAAAGAAAACGTTTTCCCAGGAGACGAGGCCTCTGCACAGGAGAAGTGTAACCCAGCCCCCGCCAGGGGCCCCCTCGTGAACTCACGAGGGAAAAGGGGGCGGGGGAGAGACGGGTACGAAATAACGAACGGTGGCCAGATGGATGCACAAGAACTTCTATAATGCACGTGATCGGACAGTAAATTCCACCAACAAAAGCTAAGAAATTCCCAGGTCAAAAAACGTCATTAAAGCCCGCAAAGATCCCACCCCTCCCCTTCTTGTTCACCTTGGAGTCATTTCTGGGCCCGAAACAGGAAGTCCCACCCGAAAGAGGAAGTCCCCATCCAAAAACAGGAAGTCCCACCCTCGCTGGAGTCTCTTCCTCCGCCTCATTTCCTGGCGGGCTATAGGTCACTTCTTGTGGCTTCAAGTTCACTTTTTGCTGAATGGGGGGTGGATTTTTTTTGTAAAATGACGAGTCCACTCCCGAACCTCCGTACCTGGTCCCCCAACAGGCAAAAACGTCTCTCTGATCGGGGGGCAGGGGCGCGGCCATTTTGTTGAGTCACATTTTCAAATGGCGACAAAGAAAAGGTCCCGGGGGGGCCCGATGGTTGAAATAACCAAACTTTTTGCCCCTTCCTCGAATCCCCTCCCCCACTCCATGTGAACAGGGACTGGAAGGGAGGGCGGGAGATAAAACTGCCCCCACCAGCCCTTAGGACAGGGGGGAATCTCCTGAAGAGGGCCGATTTCCCCCCACCCCGAGACGTAACACAGCTGCTCCTGACTTTCCCCTCTGACCCCACAGGCCCCCCCCCCCGCACTCCTGGTGGAGCTGAGGTGTGGGGAGCCAGGACCTGGCCTGGACAGGATTGTAGGGATGTGGGGAGCGGAGCTGGGGGAAGGGACCAGCTCCAAGCCCCCCCCCCCAACATCTGTGCCAGAGAGGAAATGGCACAGGGACCCCCTTGGCCCCCATTAACCCTGTCAGCGCCAGAGTACAGGGTCCCCCCTCTGCTTTAACCCTGTCAGTGCCGGGGGCTCTTTACACGAGGAAGAATCGGGGGTGGGGGGCACCCATCTCCGTCAGCGTCGGGGGGGGGCTGTCCGTATTGGGGGGGGTGAGGCGTAAGTCCGTAGCCAGCGCCGGGGTGGGCCCGGGCCCCCCTTCCCCCTCACACTTTGTAGTAGATGTTGGCGGGGCTCTGGGGGGGCATCTCCTGGACGATGTAGACGGGGTGCCCATAGTCCCCGCTCACTTTCTCGTAGTGGGGGCAGAAGGCCCCGTCCGACGTCCGTAGCGGGATGATGATGTCGCTGGGCTCCGACCCATTGTTGTTCCCCCCCGGGCCGGCCCCCCGCTTGGGGCTGGTCAGGCCGCTGAGCGAGAGAGGCGGGAGGTGGGTGTCGCTCTGCTTGGCCCGCCTCCGACACCAGCACACGGCCCCCGTCACGCCCGCCGCCACCAGGGCCACGAAGGCGGCGCCCCCCGCTGCCCCGGCCACCACGGGCACGTTGGACTGGGGCAAGGGCCCGTTCGCGCCCCCCGCCGGGCCCGTCGCGTTCCCAGCACCTGCAGGGGGAGAGAGAGAGAGAGAGAGAAAGGGCTAAGGGAGAGAACCCAGGAGTCCTGGCTCCCAGCCCCCCCCGCTCTAACCCACCAGCCCCCACTCCCCTCCCAGAGCCGGGAGAGAACCCAGGAGTCCTGGCTCCCAGCCCCCCCGCTCTAACCCACCAGCCCCCACTCCCCTCCCAGAGCCGGGGAGAGAACCCAGGAGTCCTGGCTCCCAGCCCCCCCCCTGCTCTAACCCACCAGCCCCCACTCCCCTCCCAGAGCCGGGGAGAGAACCCAGGAGTCCTGGCTCCCAGCCCCCCCCCCGCTCTAACCCACCAGCCCCCACTCCCCTCCCAGAGCCGGGGAGAGAACCCAGGAGTCCTGGCTCCCAGCCCGCTCTGCTCTAACCACTTGACCCCACTCCCTGCCCAGAAGCCCAAGGCTGGCCTAGCAGGGGCTGTGGGTCGGGACTGAGGGGCCCTGGCAGGGCAGGGGGGGGGGGGGCAGGGCTGGGCTGGCAGGGGGCTGTGGGTCAGGAGTGAGGGGCACCGGCAGGGCTGGGGGGGGGCCCACAGCTGGGCTAGCAGGGGCTGCGGGTCTGGAGTCAGGGGGATGGGGGAATCAAGGCAGGCCCCCCCCTCGGTGGGTGTGAAGGGGTTAATGTCCTGTTGCTGTCTGTCCCAGGAGGGAGAGGCGGGGGCTGAGTCTGAGGGATGCTGCTGGCTGTAAAGGACCCAGGTGTCCTGGGCAGGGGGTGGAGTCACAGAGACAATTAGCTGCCTTAACTGGCTTTGAGGGACAGGAGGGGCTCAGAAACCCACTGGGCCAAGCCAGTCAGGGAGCTGCCACCATGAACAGGGCTGGGAGCCAGGACTCCTGGGTCCTCTCCCTGGCTATGGGAGGGGAGTGGGGGCTGGTGGGTTGGAGCAGGGGGGGCTGGGAGCCAGGACTCCTGGGTCCTCTCCCTGGCTCTGGGAGGGGAGTGGGGGCTGGTGGGTTGGAGCAGGGGGGCTGGGAACCAGGACTCCTGGGTCCTCTCCCTGGCTCTGGGAGGTCTAGTGGTTAGAGCAGGGGGGGCTCAGTTCCCATCTCTGAACACGCGTGCTCTGGGGGAGCGATCTGGTGCCGACGGGGCAGACAGGGGGCGCTGGGTGTGGGGCAGGGACCCCCAGTACTGGGTGGGGAACCTGGCGGGGGGTGGGCAGCTCCGTACCTGCGCCGCTTGCCTTGCTGGGCTCCACTCCGCCCAGCGTCCCCCGCTCCTTCTCGGGCGGCGTTTCCGACCCCGCTTTCTGGGACTTGGAGGCCGTGCCGGGATCTGGGGGGGCAGAGAGAGAGATGCGTGGGTGGGGGGATGGGGATGGGGGGGGGAGAGTGACAGGTGCACACAGAGCGGGGTCCCCAGCGCACTCTGCCCCCTGGGAGGGCGCAGAGCCCCCTGTACCCCGGCAAAGCCCCCCACTTCTCCCAGCCACCTTCCCCTCTGTGTGTTGCAAAACCAGGCCCGGCCAGGAGGGGGCGCCACTCCCCTTGGAGTCTATGGGACGCAGGACCGACCCTGCCGGGGCCCCTCACTCCTGACCCCCAGCCCCCGGCTAGCCCAGCCCTGCCCCACCCCCAGCCCTGCCGGTGGGGGGGGGAGAGGGTTGAGCAGAGGGATAGCTCAGTGGTTTGAGCATTGGCCTGCTAAACCCAGGGTTGTGAGTTCAATCCTCGAGGGGGCCATTTGGGATCTGGGGCAAAAATTGGGGATTGGTCCTGCTTTGAGCAGGGGGTTGGACTAGATGACCTCCTGAGGTCCCTTCCAACCCTGATAGTCTATGAGAGGCTGCCCCAGAAGCTGTGGGTCCTTCGCAGCGGTTCGGGGCCCAGAGGAAAAGCGCAGGCCAGCTGGAGCTGGCTTTAGGTGCTGTCAATCACACAGCAAGCTCCTCCCCCTTTCCCCTCCCCCCCGCCCCCAGTCGCTCCTCCTCTCGCCCGCTGCAATCACGCAGCGCTAATTAGCTCCTTGGAGGGGCTCAGCGGGACTCGCCAAATCAACCCCAGCTGGGAGAAAACCAGGGATTTCGGATCCGCTCTCGCAGCGCCAGGGAGAGAACCCAGGAGTCCTGGCTCCCAGCCCCCCCCTGCTCTAACCCACCAGCCCCCACTCCCCTCCCAGAGCCAGGAAGAGAACCCAGGAGTCCTGGCTCCCAGCCCCCCTGCTCTGACCCACCAGCCCCCACTCCCCTCCCAGAGCCAGGGAGAGAACCCAGGAGTCCTGGCTCCCAGCCCCCCCCTGCTCTAACCCACCAGCCCCCACTCTCCTCCCAGAGCCAGGAAGAGAACCCAGGAGTCCTGGCTCCCAGCCCCCCCTGCTCTGACCCACCAGCCCCCACTCTCCACCCAGAGACAGGGAGAGAACCCAGGAGTCCTGGCTCCCAGCCCCCCTGCTCTGACCCACCAGCCCCCACTCCCCTCCCAGAGCCAGGGAGAGAACCCAGGAGTCCTGGCTCCCAGCCCTCCCTGCTCTGACCCACCAGCCCCCACTCCCCACCCAGAGACAGGGAGAGAACCCAGGAGTCCTGGCTCCCAGCCCCCCCCTGCTCTAACCCACCAGCCCCCACTCCCCTCCCAGAGCCAGGAAGAGAACCCAGGAGTCCTGGCTCCCAGCCCCCCTGCTCTGACCCACCAGCCCCCACTCCCCACCCAGAGACAGGGAGAGAACCCAGGAGTCCTGGCTCCCAGCCCCCCTGCTCTGACCCACCAGCCCCCACTCCCCTCCCAGAGCTGGGGAGAGAACCCAGGAGTCCTGACTGCCAGTCCTCCAATTCATGCTCCCTGCCCCACAGCGCCCCCAAGCGCCGCCCTGGGGCCAGCCCCGCCTGCCTGGGGAGAGCACCCCCTGCTGTGCCCCTGCCCCGCTCCCTGCCCCCCAGCACCCCCTAGCGCCGCCCTGGGGAGAGCCCTAGGGACAGCACCCTCTCTGAGCCTCCTGCCCTGCCCCCTAGTGCCGCCCTGGGGCCAGCCCCGCCCGCCTGGGGAGAGCGCCCCTGCTGAGCCCCTGCCCCGCTCCCTGCCCCCCAGCACCCCCTAGCACTGCCCTGGGGCCAGCCCCGCCCGCCTGGGGAGAGCGCCCCTGCTGTGCCCCTGCCCCGCTTCCTGCCCCCCAGCACCCCCTGCGCCGCCCTGGGGAGCCCTGCCTGCCTAGGGACAGCCCCTGCTCTGACCCACCTGCCCCGCTCCCTGCCCCCTAGCCTGCCCAGGGGAGCCCCCCCTGGGGAGAGAACCCAGTGAGCCTCCTGCCGTCCCTGCCCCCTAGTCCTGGGGCCAGCCCCGCCTGCCTGGGGAGAGTGCTCCCTGCCCCCAGCGCCCCCTAGCGCCGCCCTGGGGCCAGCCCTGCCTGCCTAGGGACAGCACCCTCTGCTGAGCCTCCTGCCCCGCTCCCTGCCCCCTAGTGCCGCCCTGGGGCCAGCCCCGCTCCCTGCCCCCCAGCCCCCTCCCGTAATGTTGTGACTTACGCTGCCCCACTTTCAACACGACTTTCATCCCCTTAGAGAGGCAGGCGCCGCCCCTCAGGTTCTCCAGCCCCTCCTTGGTGCCGTCTGACGTGGCTGTGGGGGGTGGGACATTACAGTGGGGTGGGGGGCCCACAGGGGGGGCTTTCCCAAGGCAAGGGCTGGCCCCAGGGGGCCCCTGGGGAGGGAGGGGCAGGGCCGCAGGGGCGCCTCCCCGGGCAGGCAGGTTCTCCAGCCCCTCCTTGGTGCAGGGTGGGCGCTCAGCAGGGGGCCCCCAGGAGGAGGGGCCCAGGGTGGCTGTGGGGGCAGAGGGAGCAGTTCCCCGGGCAGGCAGGGTGGGCGGTGGGGAGGGGTGGGAGAGGCTCAGCAGGGGGCGCTCTCCCCGGGCAGGCAGGGCTGGCCCCAGGGGGCGCTGTGGGGCAGGGAGTGGGCAGAGGGCTCAGCAGGGGGCGCTCTCCCCGGGCAGGCAGGGCTGGCCCCAGGGGGCGCTGTGGGGCAGGGAGTGGGCAGAGGGCTCAGCAGGGGGCGCTCTCCCCGGGCAGGCAGGGCTGGCCCCAGGGGGCGCTGTGGGGCAGGGAGCTGGGCAGAGGGCTCAGCAGGGGGCGCTCTCCCCGGGCAGGCAGGACTGGCCCCAGGGTGGCGGTAGGGGGCAGGCGGGGGGAGCCATTACCGGTGGGGCAGGGTTGGTTCGGGGAGTGGGGGGGCCGGGGCTTGGCCTGTGAGCGGATGCTCGCGGCGCGTGTGTGAGGTGGCCTTGTCACGCGGGCCGTGCGCGTGTCTCTGGCCACGGATTGTGGTGTGTTGTGTGCGTGTGGGGTGATTGTGTGTGAGCTCTTTGTCGCTCTGTGGAAGGTGAAATTAGACCCCAGTGATGGCTGGGCGACACTCTCTCTCACACACACACACAGAGGCCTCAATCTCTCTCACACACACACAGAGGCCTCGATCTCACACACACACACACACACACACACACACAGAGGCCTCGATCTCACACACACACACAGAGGCCTGGATCTCACACACACACACACACACACACACACACACACACACACACACACACACAGAGGCCTGGATCACACACACACAGAGGCCTGGATCTCACACACACACACACAGAGGCCTCAATCTCTCTCACACACACACACAGAGGCCTGGATCACACACACACACACACACACACACACACACAGGCCTGGATCTCACACACACACACACACACACACACACACACACAGAGGCCTCGATCTCACACACACACACAGAGGCCTGGATCACACACACACACACACACACACACAGAGGCCTCGATCTCACACACACACACACACACACACACACACACAGAGGCCTGGATCACACACACACAGAGGCCTGGACACACACACACACACACACACACAGAGGCCTCGATCACACACACACACACAGAGGCCTGGATCTACACACACACACACACACACACACACACACACACACACAGAGGCCTGGATCACACACACACAGAGGCCTGGATCTCACACACACACACACAGAGGCCTCGATCACACACACACACACAGAGGCCTGGATCACACACACACACACACACACAACACACACAGAGGCCTGGATCACACACACACAGAGGCCTGGATCTCACACACACACACACAGAGGCCTCGATCACAGACACACACACAGAGGCCTGGATCACACACACACCCCGGCCGTGTTACCAGGTCCTCATTGTGCTGCTCTCAGCAATTCGCGGGGAGAGCGCAGCCTCCAGCCTGGAGCCCCCACTGGACCCAGGAGTCCGGGCTCCCAGCCCCCACCCTCATTCTCTCCCCACCACTTGGAGGGGAGTGGGGCCTGGTGGGTTAGAGCAGGGTGGGCTGGGAGCCAGGACTCCTGGGTTCTCTCCCGGGCTCCGGGAGGGGAGTGGGGGCTGGTGGGTTAGAGCCGGGGGCTGGGAGCCAGGACTCCTGGGTTCTCTCCCCGGCTCCGGGAGGGGAGTGGGGGCTGGTGGGTTAGAGCCGGGGGCTGGGAGCCAGGACTCCTGGGTTCTCTCCCCAGCTCCGGGAGGGGAGTGGGGGCTGGTGGGTTAGAGCGGGGGGCTGGGAGCCAGGACTCCTGGGTTCTCTCCCCGGCTCTCGGAGGGGAGTGGGGGCTGGTGGGTTAGAGCCGGGGGCTGGGAGCCAGGACTCCTGGGTTCTCCCCCCGGCTCTGGGAGGGGATTGCGGGCTAGTGGTGGCAGCAGGGGGGCTGGAAGCCCATTGGGAGGTCGGTGCTGAAGCCGAGCGGGGGTGGTGGCCCGGACGCCGGGGTCCGCAGGGAGCGGTGGGGGGGCTGCGTGTGTGCGGTGGCAGCAGGTGCCGGGGGCGCCGGCAAGCCAGGCCATCACATCGTGTTAGCCGCGCGTGGCCGGGCCCTTTCACCGCTAAACTTGGGGGGGGTCTGTGCTCAAAGATGCTGGCTACCCGGGCCAGCCCCCCTTGCAGCCAGCCTTCCCCATGGTCCCCTCCATCCCCACTAGGCCCCTTGTCTTCCCAAGAGCCCCCCCAGACCCCCAGACCCCTTCTATACAGGTCCCCCCAGGGCAGAGACAGCCCCCCACATGCACCCCGATTGCCCGCCCCACCCCCACAGACACCCACACACATTCATCCCCCACCTAGTCAGCTCCTTACATAGCCCAGCGACCCCACCCCATGCGCAACTCCGGGCCCCCGCCCGCTTCAAAACCCCCAGCCGCTGGTCTGTTCTGTCCACCCCCCACGGGACCCAGGAGTCCTGGCGAGTTTAAAGATCTGTAATAAACATTTGTGTATTGGATGCGGCCACCTCTGGGGCGGGGCGGCCGGTGACCCGGGGACCCCTCACCCGGCACCGAGATGCGGCCACCTCTGGGGCAGGGCGGCTGGTTACACCGGGACCCCTCGCCCGGCGCCGAGATGCGGCCACCTCTGGGGCGGGGCGGCTGGTTACACCGGGACCCCTCGCCCGGCGCCGAGATGCGGCCACCTCTGGGGCGGGGCGGCTGGTTACACCGGGACCCCTCGCCCGGCGCCGAGATGCGGCCACCTCTGGGGCGAGGCGGCCGGTGACCCGGGGACCCCTCGCCTGGCGCCGAGATGCGGCCACCTCTGGGGCGGGGCGGCTGGTTACACCGGGACCCCTCGCCCGGCGCCGAGATGCGGCCACCTCTGGAGCGGGGCGGCCGGTGACCCGGGGACCCCTCGCCCGGCACCGAGATGCGGCCACCTCTGGGGCGGGGCGGCTGGTTACACCGGGACCCCTCGCCCGGCGCCGAGATGCGGCCACCTCTGGGGCGGGGCGGCTGGTTACACCGGGACCCCTCGCCCGGCGCCGAGATGCGGCCACCTCTGGAGCGGGGCGGCCGGTGACCCGGGGACCCCTCGCCCGGCACCGAGATGCGGCCACCTCTGGGGCGGGGCGGCCGGTTACACCGGGACCCCTCGCCCGGTGCCGAGATGCGGTCACCTCTGGGGCGGGGCGGCTGGTTACACCGGGACCCCTCGCCCGGCGCCGAGATGCGGCCACCTCTGGGGCGGGGCGGCTGGTTACTCAGGGATTTTTTGCCGAGGGGGGGGGGCTTGTTTCCGGTTCTGTCACTTCCTGCCCTACTTGGCACCTGACCCCCCCGCCCCCCCCAGCTTCCCTCGCTCGTGTCTTGTTGGGCAGAACAATCGTCTGACCAGTAACTGGGTCAGCGATGACAGCGCCTTTGGTTCCCCCTCCCCCACCAGCCCCTTCCCCCCCTGACTCTCCTGCCCCCTTCCCCCCCCCCACAGCTCCACCCCCGCACGCTGCCATCTCCCCTCCCTGCTTCTGCTGGCCTCTCGCTCTTCCCCCCAGCGCCCCCCCGGGATCCCCTCTCGGCCCCTTCGCTCCCCCCTCCCACCCCAGTAAAATCCCCAAGACCCCCCAAGAGACGCTGGGGCAGGTGGGTGATAGCAAAGGGAGAGGGGGAGGAGGTGGGGGAGGGGTGGGAATGGGGGGTGCGGAGGGGCAGGGAGGAGGTGGGGGGAGGGCTGGGAATGGGGGGTGCGGAGGGGCAGGGAGGGAGAGGGAGGGCTGGGAATGGGGGGAGGGGAGGGGCAGGGAGGAGGTGGGGGGAGGGCTGGGAATGGGGGGTGCGGAGGGGCAGGGAGGAGGTGGGGGAGGGCTGGGAATGGGGGGGGGGGGAGGGGAGGGGAGGGGAGGGAGGGAGAGGGAGGGGCTGGGAGATGGGGGAGGGGGGAGGGGGAGGGGAGGGAGGGAGGGGGAGGGCTGGGAATGGGGGGTGCAGAGGGGCAGGGAGGGAGGGGGAGGGCTGGGAATGGGGGTTGGGGGCGGCCTGAGGACTTGAGCTTCCCTTCCACAGGTGACACCCAGCCCCCCATGAGGCCCCCTCTTCCCCAAGTGGGGGGGTGCAGCCTCTCTGGGGTGGGGTCGGGGGGGGCGGTTGCCGTGGCACGGTTGCTAGGGTGCCAGGAAGTCACTGGTTTGTCGGGAGACAGTTGCCATAGCAATGGGGGAAAGACCAGCGGGGTCTGTGATGGGAAACTGCGGGGGGGGTGGATGTGCGCCCCCCCGCATCTCTCCACCCCCTCAGGGGCAACAATTGCCCCCCCATGGGGCCCTGATGATTCAAACTGGCCCCTCCCCCCGCTCCCCTCCCCCTTGTCCTGCCCCTCCCCCATCCTATCCCCTCCTTGCTGCTCCCCCCCCCCGGTCCCCCCGCCCCGTGACCCAGATGTCAGGAAGCCTCAGTGCCTGGATTTCAAAAGGGAAAATATCCCGGAGCAGCCGACAGGCTCCGGGTGGGGGGGGGGCCTGCTCAGCCCGGACCACCCCCAGACACCCATGTGCGCAGGTACACACACACACTGTGTCGCACGCACGTGCGTGAGCAGCCAGGGGACAAGCCCTGTAAGAGGCCTTGTGCCATCTGTAGGGAGGGGGCTGGGTGAGTGTGCAAGGGAGGCAGTGTGCACAGGAGAGAGGGTGTGCAAGAGTCTGTGGGCAGCAGAGGAGGGGGGGCATGGGCATGTGAGTGTGCATGAAAGGGACCAGGGGAGTGTGCAAGAGGTTGAATGTCCATCCTACATATGTGTGCAAGAGACTGAGTGAGTGTGCGCAGGTGTGAAAGTGCAACGGGCCAGGGGCAGGTGTGAGGGAGCAAATGTTCATCCCGTGTGCCTGCAAGGGACCAGTCGAGCGTGCAAGGGGCTGAACGTCTCTACTGTGTGTGCAAGAGGTTTGAGTGTGCGTGAGTATGCAATGGGTCACACAAGTGTGCGAGGGACCAAACATCCATGCTGGGGTGTGTGCACCAGCGTGAGCGAGCGTGCCAGGAGGTGGGTGCAGGGCCTGGTCTGGGGTGTGTGTGCAAGAGGGTGTGCACATGGGTGTGCAAAGGGCCAAGTGGGCCAGGGACCAAACTTGCCTACGAGTGTGCAACATAGGGTTGGCACACAAAGGTGAAAGGCAACCCCAGGTGTGTGCAGGCAAGTGAGTGTGCAAATAATGACAGGTGTGCAAGTGACGGGGGTGTGCAAATGCAGGCGAGGGACTGAGTGGGCAAGGAGCGTTTTGGGGAAGGGACAGTGCAAGCGGGCAAGCCAGCGAACTAACCCCCTTGCACAGACACACACACCTGTTCCACACGCGCACCGGTCTGCGTGCACACCCCCTTGCACGCGTTCCCCCCCCGCAAGGTGCCTTGGTCTCTTGCATGCTCACCCCCTCACCGGCAGACACCCTGAAACACCTCCTGTTGAGAGCCCCCAGTCCCATGCAAACAACCCCCCACCCCTCGGACACTGGACTTGGGGGGGTCACCCCACGGCTCCAGCTCTGACCCCCAACTTCTCAGACCCTATGATTCTGGCTGGGAGCCTGCCACTGTCACCCCAGGCATGGCCTCGGGAGTCAGGGGGGAGCCTGGGAGGGGCTAGCAGGGGCTGCGGGTCGGGAGTGAGGGGCACCAGCAGAGCTGGGGGGGTCAGGGGGCTGCGGGTCGGGAGTGAGGGGCACCGGCAGAGCTGGGGGGGCAGAGCTGGGGGGGTCAGGGGGCTGCGGGTCGGGAGTGAGGGGCACCAGCAGAGCTGGGGGGGCAGAGCTGGGGGGGTCAGGGGGCTGTGGGTCGGGAGTGAGGGGCACCGGCAGAGCTGGGGGGGCAGAGCTGGGGGGATCAGGGGGCTGCGGGTCGGGAGTGAGGGGCACCGGCAGAGCTGGGGGGGTCAGGGGGCTGCGGGTCGGGAGTGAGGGGCACCGGCAGAGCTGGGGAGGCAGAGCTGGGGGGGTCAGGGGGCTGCGGGTCGGGAGTGAGGGGCACCGGCAGGCTGGGGGGTCAGGGGCTGCGGGTCGGGAGTGAGGGGAGGAGGTGGGGGGTCAGGGGGTGCGGGTGGGAGTGAGGGGCAGGCAGAGCTGGGGGGCAGAGCTGGGTGGGTCAGGGGGCTGCGGGTCGGGAGTGAGGGGCACCGGCAGGGCTGGGGGGGCAGAGCTGGGGGGGTCAGGGGGCTGCGGGTCGGGAGTGAGGGGCACCGGCAGAGCTGGGGGGGTCAGGGGGCTGCGGGTCGGGAGTGAGGGGCACCGGCAGAGGTGAGGCTGGGGGGGCTGGAGAAGCGGGTCGTGGGCGGCGAGCGATTGACTCAGCAATGAACAGTGTGGGAGGGCAGGAGACAGACAGAATGACGGACAGATTGTGTTGGGGGGGGGGTGCGGGGAGCCGGATTTCACAACACAGAGCCTAAGAGCCAGGAGCCGCCCCTCCAAATCCCAGCAGCCCGACCCCCACCGGACAGGACGGGCCCTGACACTGGGGTCTGTCGCCCGGCGCCGAGACGCGGCCACTTCTGGGGCAGGATGATCGGTGTCACGGGGACCCCTCGCCCGGCACCGAGACGTGGCCATCTCTGGGGCGGGGCGGCTGGTTACCCAGGGACCCCTCGCCCGGCACCGAGACGCGGCCACCTCTGGGGCGGGGCGGCTGGTTACCCAGGGACCCCTCGCCCGGCACCGAGACGCGGCCACCTCTGGGGCAGGACGGCCGGTGACACAGGGACCCCTCGTCCGGTGCCGAGACGTGGCCATCTCTGGGGCAGGATGGCTGGTTACCCAGGGACCCCTCGCTTGGCGCCGAGATGCGGCCACCTCTGGGGCAGGACGGCCGGTGACACAGGGACCCCTCGTCCGGTGCCGAGACGTGGCCATCTCTTGGGCAGGATGGCTGGTTACCCAGGGACCCCTTGCCCGGTGCCAAGACGTTGCCACCTCTGGGGCAGGGCAGCCGGTGACCCAGGGACCCCTCGCCCGGCACTGAGATGCGGCCACCTCTGGGGCGAGGCGGCCGGTGACACGGGGACCCCTCGCCCGGCACCGAGATGCAGGAGAAAAATTTATCAACCCAAACCCAGGAGCCCCTCCTGCTCTAGCCGCTAGCCCCCCTCCCGAGCCGGGCGAGAACCCAGGAGTCCGGGCACTCACTGATGATGTAGTAGTCCTGGTTGCTCTTGAATTCGTGGCCCCACAGGTTGGGGCTGAACTCCTGGAACTTGATGGTGAATCGCACGTCGTGCTCGGGCCGGTCGCACGTCAGCAGCAGGTTGGGGGCCCGCAGGATCTCGCACGCCCGGGCCTGCTCGCCCGGCACGAGGTACAGCTTGTAATATTCATACTCCTCCGCCGAGAAGGGGCCCGGCGGGCGGGAGCGGGGGCAGATCAGGTCCAGCCGGTCGCCGATCTGCGGGTACAGGACGTAGCCGCCCGCCGCCTGGAACCTGCCGGAGACGGGGCGTCAGAGAGGGGACCCCAACCCGCCCTGGGCCAGCCAGTCCCCGCCCTGGGGGCAGATGGGAGCCGGCGCCCGCGAGAGGGGACAGGCCCCTGATTCCCACCCAGCCCCCCCAGGACAGGCACAGCTTGGTGCCCCCCCCCCGGGACGGCCCCCGCTTGCCTTGTGACCCCCCCCAGATCCTCTGACTAAGGAGACCCTGACAGAGAGACACGGTCGTTCCCCCCACCCCCACCCCAGCCAAGGCTGCCGATTTTGGGGAACAGGCCGAGACAAAACAGCCTCCCACCTGGGAGCAGGGCCCCTCCCGGCCCTCGTCCGTGTGAAACACCTGTCCCTCACCCCTCTGCTGGGCCCCCCCGCAGCCCCACACCCAGGGGAGCCACCCAGCCCCACCCCCACCCAGACTTGGGGGAAAGACCCCCATCAGCTGCCCCTGGTCCCCGAGGGACCTCTTGCGCAGTGCTGAGATGCAACCACCTCTGGGGTGGGGTGGCTGGCTATCGGGGGACCCCTTGCCTGGCGCGGAGATGTGGCACCTCTGGGGCGGGGCACAGCTCCTACTCTAGTAGGATGGGGGGCTGGGAGCCAGGACTCCTGGGTTCTCTCTCCGGCTCTGGGAGGGGAATGGGGGCTGGTGGGTGACAGCAGGGCGGGCTGGGAGCCAGGACTCCTGGGTTCTCTCCCCAGCTCTGGGAGGGGACTGGGGTCTAGTGTTAGAGCCGGGGGGTGGGAGCCAGGACTCCTGGGTTCTCTTCCTTATCCATGCCAGAGACACGGTTAGAACCCAGGAGTCCTGATGGTCACAGGCCTTCAGCCCAAGAGCCAACCCACTGTGTTTTCTCTCTCTAGGACCGGCGGCCTGATTTTGCGGTTCCAGAGAATTCCCCCTGCGTTTCCTCGGCCACCCCAGGCTCCAGAGGCCCCGCAACACCACCCCTCACGCCCTCCCCCCCACACCCCGCCACCGAAAAGCAAGAGCCGAAAATATCCTGCCACAGCCAGCGGCCTCTGATCTCTCGGTGCCGGCCCTGTCTGGCACGCAGCCCGTGTCCAGAGGCACCGATCTGCGAGCCCCGCAGAGGCCCAAGGATCTCTCTCGACTCTCGGGGTAAATCCTGGTGAATCGTATTTTCACACGAGACGCACTGATTTCCCACTGGCACGTCCATCTTCAATACGGGCAAGTGATTTGAAAGGACGCTGACGCACGGCGTTGCAAGGATGCTGGCCATGAAAATATTTGCTGTTTAAGACGATCCATGGCTGTATCGCGCAGAGGGGGGTGGACGGTTTGTGGCTTAGGGATTTGGTCAGAGGGCTTGATTTTTCAGTGCTTTACTATGCATTCCTGAAGCCGACGTGCTTAAAAACAAGGCCGCCCTATCGAACGCAAGAGGAGGTCGCTTTGAAAATTACCCAGTCGCTTCTCCGCACCCCAGAGCCAGCTGCATCTGAGCCCCGGGTGAGCCCGCTGGGGGGGGGTTGGGGGGAGCGTTAAAGCTTTTATCGGAAGTCACACGGATCGGCGTCGATTCCTGGCCACAAAACTCTGATCCGTGTAGTTCCTGGACGTTAAAATATTCACCACGTATCATTGCGGTCAGAGTGGATCAAAGGGATGGGGCACCCCTCTATTTAATAAGAGACACTCATTTTCAGCGGCCTGGCGCATCCGTCGGGCAGTACACGTGCCTTCCTAATTTTAAGCATTCATGAGGAATAACTCCACCTGCGTGGGAAGGACTGTTACAAACTTCTGGACGGCTTCATAAAAACCGATAGTGATGACCAAGAATAGCCGCAGGAATATTTCCTGTTCCTTCCCGCCCGGGCAGCTAGAAATTGTCCGAGCGGCTTCAAAATCAGGATTCAGGGGTAGGAGTTTGCGGGATCAATCTGAGCTCTGGCCACGAAAGGGACTCCCAGATTTTTCCGCTTTGGAAACCGTCCGGTTTGAAGATCATTCCAAAAATCGGTCGACGGATTTGACATCGAAAAACTTCATTGAACGCCCCTGAAAATGGGACACTTTGAACGTCCCATGAGAGATAATAGATCCAGGTTTTGGCTGGGCTGCAGACACTCACAGGCCTGCGTGCGAGAGAGGAAGAAACCGGTGCCCGGGGAAATGCAAGAGAGAAACCGGTTTGCCGGGAGCCCGGTCCCTCCAATCTCGGGAACGGTCAGATCTCGAGTGTCCCAGTCCCCTACCACACACACACACACAGAGACAGAAACAGCTCAGTGCAGAGCATGGCCGAAATGGGCCTAGGAGATTTAGAAGCCTTCCACTGAGTCTCAAGCTGCTAGGTTCCAGTTCCCCCACAGGGGTTTAGGCACCTCGTCCCCATTGATTTATCCAAATGGCCTAAGCGGTGCTTAATTTGTCACGAAAGAGGCGGAAGTAATTTATTTACATTTATGACTGACGCAGCAAGCCCAGAGGTGCCGGGGCCCTGTCCTGCCAAGCCCTGGCCCAAATGAAGCCCTGGGCCCAAGTGACCTTTGACAATGGGACTTGGCGTTCGGGGCAGATTTTTAAAGCCTTTCAACAATTTGCTCGCCCTAGGCCGGCCGGGCGATCTGCGCGTGCACGCGCGTGTGTCCAAAATCAAAGCTCGTGCGTGTGTCCAAAATCAACGCCTAAGCAATCCAACGGTTTGCTTTAAAAAGAAGATGGCTTCAAAAAATGGCAAGATTTCTTCCCAGACACACACTGCCAGCCCCCCAAGAGACAACCAAATTGGTCCCCGCACGTAAATGTAGCCAGAGGCTGATCTGGTCTGATATTTTGCGTCATAAAAGAAATACGTTTTATAAAGAAAGTGGCTTTGCTTTTTTCCCCTCTTTAAGCGGCGTACCCCCGTGTTTTAAGATCCTTTGGGGATGGGGGGGAGGGAAAAACCACCCGGAAAGACGCCAAAAACCACCCTTCTCCCTAGATCTGCAAGGGAGACGGCGAACCCCCTTTTCAGGCGTGGGGGTGGGGGTGGAAATGATTTAGACAAATAGCTCCATTTGCTAGAATCTGTATTTGTTGCTAGGAAGCGCTGACAACGACGATGGGAGTAATTGTAGGGTCTGTGAATCACGGTTATGCTTCATCTTTCTGGCAGCCAGGCTCCGTCCCTGGCCAGGCTCGCCAGCCCATCGAACCCCCTAAAACTTTGTCGTTGGCGCCGGATGGAGAAAGGGGGTTTTGACTGAGCCCGGAGCAGATCCCACACTCGGGTGGTTTAGATGGATCTTGTGTCTGGAATAATATAGCCAGCAGGGAGGAAAATGTAACTTACCAATATATAGGGGCAGAAAGAAATGCCTACGTTGACCTATTAACACCATGGTCTGGAAACTCGCTCAGCCCCCATAAAGCATAGATCAGCAAACAGAGGCCCCCGTGTGCGGTGATCAAAAATGAAAAGGATCCACAGAGGCTCACAACACAACCCAAGACCCAAAGATCAGTCTCAAGAAGCCATCAGTCTCGAGCAGGATCAATCCATATATTCTGCTTTGAGCCGGGGGTTGGACTAGATACCTCCTGAGGTCCCTTCCAACCCTATGATACACACACACCCAGTCAGTCATTTCAAGGGGACATCAAACTACACACAACTTTAAGAAGCTGCCAGTATAAAGCTAAATAAAACACACACACACACACACACAGAATAATTTCAAGGGAATCCTTCTTCCCCTTTCGATACACACACACACACACACTTGATCTACACACTGAAGGCACCAAAACCAACACCCACAACTGGGAAGAGACACACATTTATATACCGCACCCGTGGAGAGCACCGCTCTTTTCCAAAAAAAAGCCGACCACAACCCAAAATACGACCTTCAAGAGGCCTACCCCAAATTCACACCCGTCTCTGGCTCGCCTGCACAAACTTCACCAAAACACCACAATCTCTCTCACACACACACTCGCTCTTGCGCGCTGTCCAGCGTCAAAAAGCCACCAAAATCCCCCCCCCCGAAACAAACACATCTCACCTTTACACTGAAAACACCGATTTTTCCAGACTTTAAAAAATATAGAATTGTTATAAAGAGCAAAACCGACAATCCCCCGGCACTTTTAGAGGCTGATTTTGTTAAATAAAACATAGTCCTTGATTTGGGGGGGGGGGGGGGGAGGATTACCAAGTCCCACCCCCAACACACTTTCCAAAACATGGGTTGACTGAAGAGGGCGAAAGGGAAAGAAAGAAAAGTTTGACAAGAGGATTAAATGGCAGACTTTTGAGGGTGAAATTGACCCAGGTCCTTATAAAACCCCAGTCAGTTACACTTGAAATTGACTAGATTAGGGGAAAACAAAAGAACTTTCAATTCCCCCCCCCCCCCCACACACACCCTTCGCCTCTGGGATTTGCAGCCCCAAAATGAATCCCCAACCACAACCAGCGATTTAAAACTTGGGGGTTCTTTCCCTCTGCCCCCCGCCCCAAACCCATCCCCGCTTTATAACAGACAAAGCAGCAAAAACCTGAGGGATTTCACCCCTTTCCCCACTTACTTTTTGTTTGCTGTATTCCAGTATATAGGCTCCAAGCTAACACCCGAAATAATCCACAGTTCCAGCAAGGAAAACAGTAACCCTACATAGAGTCCAAGCAATGAAGTCCTCAATGCCATGATTGCAAAGGAAAGGGAATTTTTTTTTACCCCTCCTCTGTGTTTTCTTCTTGAGAGTCTCTCTTTCACACACACACACACACACAAAAATCAAGAGGCTCCCAGACTCTTAGACTTTGCCCCACTCTGCAAGCCCTAGGCTGGGTAAAGTTTTATGGATTTTTTCCCCCCACCCGCCTGGATTTTTCATGCCAGAACTGGAAAGTTTGGGGAGGGGGGCAGTTTTGTGTGTGTGTGTGTGTGTTGTTTTTCCTTCAAGATCCTAATGCCATCTGCAGCCTTGGCGAAAAATACATCTAGACACACACACACACACAGAGAGATTGCCTCCCCGTCTCTTGTGTGTGTCTTTCTGGTCTGATCTCCTGAGCGGGGAGGACACACTGTTGTAAGACACAAGGAAAGGAGGGAGGGGGAAGGAATTCATTTGAAAGCCCCCCCTGGACTCCTGGTCTTTGGTGAGATTTTTTTTCTTCTTCTTCTTTTCTTTCTCTTTTTTTTTGAAGGTTCAGCATTGAGTAACTCCAGAGATGAGGACAGAGAATGGGAGTAAGCGGAAAGGAGGAGGAGCAGGAGAAGAGAAGTGGTGAATGGGAAATACTGGAGAAGAGAAAGAGAGACAGGGGCGCACACACCCAGACACACACAGACACACACACACACAGGCTAGGATCTGGAGCCTGGACTTTAAAGAAGATGTGGAGTCAGGATTCAGGTCTAAAATCCTCCCCAATGAGTAGCGTGCACACAAATAAATCCGCCAGCAAGGGTTGCTTGAAGACAGGAATATTTTGCAGGCCTCTCCGCTTCCTTGTCAGGATTGATCAGAGACACAGTTCGCTTCTCGAGGGGGAAAAAAAAAAAGAGAGCGAAATCAGGGTCCTTTTCCCGAGCCGCTTTGCGCTGCGAGGAAAGCGAGCAATGTCTCCAAGCTGCGACTGATTTGTCAAATGCCCAGCCGGGTTCCTTGTGTGCCTGCGTGTGGGGCAAGGTGGATTTGGGTTAGAAATGTTTCAGAGGAGCAGCCGTGGTAGTCTGTATCCGCAAAAAGAACAGGAGAGGACTTGTGGCACCTTAGAGGCTAACCAGTTTATCTGAGCGTAAGCTTTCGTGAGCTACGGCTCACTTCATCCAATGCATTGGAAATCGGTTTGGGGTGGGAAAGGGACTTGAGCCCCAACGCTGGCGATTTCGCCCCTTGGACCAGGCCGGCTGGGTTTTCCTCGGGGCCCCGAGGCCGGGCAGTCCGGGAGCATTTGGGGCCTGGGAAGTGGGATTTCTCTGTAAGAATCGGGGGGGTGGGGGATCGATTAAACAAACAATAACCCCACTCGCTGGCCAAATCTGGCTGGAGAGGAATCCAGCAGCTTGCGAAACCCTGCGTGGATTTGAAGGCCGTTTCCGACCCACTGGTCCCATTGAACGCCGGCCGGAGTGTTTCGCCTTTGCCGAGAACTTGCAGATGCTAAACCGGCCGGGAAACCCTTTCGTGAAAAATTCATCCCGGGATCCGCTTGTTTTAAGGGCCGTGGCGGATCCTCCTGGCTGTGGGTCTTCCCCGAGACAGGACTTGCCCGGACTGCGATCTTTGGCCGCGGCCCGCTGGGATTTCTTGGCCCGTCGGGCTTCCAGGGTCTTGATGTTCAGGGTTGGGGGTCGAATGGGCCAAGCGGGATCCGGAGGCCGAAGCGGGAAGTGAAGCGGGAGCGGCAGGCGTTTTTGGAGGTTCCCAGATGGGCCTGGGGCAAAGTGGGGTGTGATTTTAGCCTCAGGAGCGGGGAGGGGGATTTTCGACTTGAGGGAAGTTGAAGCCCAGTGACACCCCGAAACGAAACTAAACAAGGCTGTGAAGGATTGGACCAATGCCCCCCCCCCAAACCCCAGCGCTTGAGACGGAGTTTGGGGAGCTGGGCAGGTGCCATTGACAGAGGGAAAGGAGCGATCACGGGAGGACGGGCACAGACGAGCCTGGTTCGGCCCCCAGCATGGGCGAGGAGAGAGGGGTCTAGTGGTTAGAGTTGCCCAAGGAGCGAGGGGCAGAGCCGGGGAGAGAACCCAGGAGTCCTGGCGCCCCACAGGCTAGGCCGTAGCCACGTATACCTGAATTTGCTTTGGGAAGGACCCTGTAATTTGGAGGCAAATATTCACAGCGTGAAGCCGCCTGCCCCCATTGTGCTGTCCAGCACCCCCCACGGGCCAGCGCCCCCCACGGGCCAGGAGCGGCTGGTGGCACTTCATGTGTAACAGAGTCCCTGGCCCCACTGATGTCTTGCTAAGCAGGGCTGGGCCAGTACAGGATTTGGAGGGGAGATAGGGGAGCGGGGCGGGGGGCTCAGCGGGGGTCTCTCCCCCGGCAGGCGGGGCTGGCCCCAGGGAGCGCTGTGGGGCAGGGAACAGGGCGGGGGGCTCGGCAGGGGGCGCTCTCCCCCGGTAGGCGGGGCTGGCCCCAGGGGCACTGTGGGGCAGGGAGCGCTCTCCTCCAACAGGTGGGGCTGGCCCCAGGGGGCTCTGTGGGGCAGGGAGGCTCTCCTCCAGCAGGCGGGGCTGGCAGGGGGCGCTGGGGCAGCGGGGGGGAGGGGGGGGGGGGCTCGGGGGCTCTCCCCCAGTAGGCGGGGCTGGCCCCAGGGGGCACTGTGGGGCAGGGAGCGCTCTCCTCCAGCAGGCGGGGCTGGCCCCAGGGGGCGCTGTGGGGCAGTGAGAGGGGCGGGGGGCTCAGCAGGGGGCGCTTTCCCCCGGCAGGCAGGGCTGGCCCCAGGGGGCGCTGTGGGGCAGCGAGAGGGGCAGGGGGCTCAGCAGGGGGGGCTCTCCCCCGGCAGGCAGGGCTGGCCCCAGGGGGCGCTGTGGGGCAGCGAGCGGGGGGCTCAGTAGGGGGCGCTCTCCCCTGGTGGGGGGGGGGCTGGAGCCCACAAGGGGGGTGGGGGGAAATATTTGCCCAATGCAAACAGAGGCTGCTGGCGCCATCTGGTGGCTCAATGTGTTACTGCAGCGAGTCTGCACCCAGCAGCAGGGACCGGGGTAGCCAGGAGCTGCCCCCACCCCGTCCCCCCACAGCACCCCCTGCTGGCAGGGCCCAGAGCAGGAGTAGCCAGGAGCTCCCCCTCCCCACCTGCGCCCCACACCAACTGGGGACATGGCTCCCACCCTGATCTCATCGCCTGCTAGCCGGGGAAGAGGCTGCTTCGCCCCCGAACCCCACATCCACACACCCCCCGCCAGGGGAGCCGGGCAGGTCCGGTGCCGTATGGATCCGGCAGGGGAAGGTGGGATATTGAGACAAGCAGGGACAGGCGCCGGGAGCGAACGTGACAGAGATGCCAAGCGCCGGAGAAAAAGGGGGAATTAAATCCCATTATGGATGGGAAGAGCCCAGACTAGTGCGTGTCATAGCCCCTATACTGCTAAGAGACCCGGGAGATTCCTCAAGTCCGATCCACACACAACCCATGCTGAGATCTGCCCCCCACAAGGGTAATTAGTTTAGCACAAAAACCAGAACCTGTTGGCTGAGGAAGACCCTACAATAATAAATCATTAAGATGTTTTGAGCACCCTGCATACTTGCCTCTCTTTGTTATTGTCGGGTCTTTGGAGCATGGGTGGCAGCGATCACTTGGTTATTGTAGGGTCTCCTGGGAGCACAGGGGGCCACCCCCGTCCCCCCATAGCAGCAGCCTCACGGGCCCATCTACTGCGGCATCTCGCCCCCTGCCAGGATCAGACCCAGCAGCCGATCTAGGCCAGCACCCGCCCCCTCCCCGCTGGCCCAGATCAGGCTGAGGGGCCCCGCTGGCCAGGTCTCTCGCCCCCGCCCCCGATGCCTCTGGGAGGGGAGTGGGGGCTGGTGGGTTAGAGCGGGGGAGGGGGGCTGGGAGCCAGGACTCCTGGGTTCTCTCCCTGCCTCTGGGAGGGGAATGGGGGCTGGTGGGTTAGACCAGGGGGGGCTGGGAGCCAGGACTCCTGGGTTCTCTCCCCGGCTCTGGGAGGCGAGTGGAGGCTGGTGGTTAGACCAAGGGGCCCCCTCCCAGAGCTGGGACAGAGCCCAGGAGTCCTGGCTCCCAGGCTGGGAAGGGAACCCAGGAGTCCGGGTCCCTTTAAGGGGGGGCTCCTGGTCCTGCTTGGTTGCTCCTAATCCCATTTTTGTGACATCACAGGAGGTTGCTGTGGCAACGGGATGCTGCTGGAAACAGGAGACTCAGGTGGGGAGAGAAGGAGGCCGGAAGGTGAGCTCTTAAAGGGACCCCGACCCGCAGAAGGGCCAGGCGGGGGGGGGGGGCGGTGACACAGGGACCCCTCACCCGGTGCCGAGATGCGGCCAGCTCTGGGGCGGGGCGGCTGGTTATCCGGGGACCCCTGGCCCAGCACCGAGATGCTGCCACCTCTGGGGCGGGGCGGCTGGTGACCCGGGGACCTCCTGGCCCAGCGATGCGGCCACCTCTGGGGCAGGGTCAGTGTCTATACAAGGATCCCTCCTCCCCTGCCACTCCCCTCCCAGCAGCTGAACCCAGGAGTCCTGACTCACGCCCCCCCCCCTCCCCCGCCTGCAACCTTTCAATGGACACTCATGCCAACTGCCGGCCAGCTGGCACCCTTCCCTCCCGTGGGGCAGAGCTATTTACCCATCTCCAGCTGTGTTTGGACAGCCGCTGCCAAGGCAAACCAACCCTGCGCTGGGCCACCTGGCCCCAGACCGCGTCTCTGGGGTGGGTTTCACACGCCTGGGGGCGGGGGAAGGGGGGGGGGATTGGACCTGCTTGCCCCCCGCTACTGGGACGACTGGGGAGGGACGTAGAGCAGGCAGGGGGGCGGGCAGAGCGTGCCCCCTCCTCCGTCTTCCTTCTTTTCTTTTTCCACGGGGACTTGGGGGGCCTTCGGGCGGTTTGTTATTGTAGGGTCTCCCAGCTGGCTGGCGGCTAGCGAAAGGCATGAAATCCCAGGACCATGGAGCCCAGGTGTGCACGGCATGGGGGGGGGGGGGGCTAGTGGTTAGAGCAGGTCGGGGTGTCGGCCCCAGTTCCCCACTGTCGCCCGCCCCCCAAAAACGTACAGGGGGGGATGATAAAAAAAGTTTTATGGCTCCAAACGAGCCAGCGAATAGAGACAAAGCTGAGTGCGTTATGTACAGATCCCCGGCGTCAAACAGTGGCCCCCCCTCATCGCCCCCCACTGCTCAGCCCCCCACTTTCCCCGACCCATCCGGAGGCCGCATCACGGGGCAGGAGGTGCCGGGTCGGGCTCCCGGCTCTCCCCACACCACCAGAGCTGCAGGCAGTTGTGGCCACGGGCCGGGCGCTGGGGTGGCCCGGGCCCCCCTTCCACGTCCTCCTCGCCGCTGTCCCACGGCTCCGGGAACTCGCGCTGGCCGGACGCGCTGGCCAGCAAGGGCAGGCTGGGGTGCAAGCTGGACAGAGGGGAGACAGGGTCAAGAGGGGCCACCAGCTCCTCCCCCCGACCCACAGCCCCCGCACCCCGGCTCTAACATGAAGCCCCACTCCCCTCCCACAGCCAGGGAGAGAACCCAGGAGTCCTGGCTCCCAGCCCCCCCACTCTAACCGCTAGCCCCCACTCCCATCCCAGACCTGGGTCCTCTCCCGGGGAGTCCTGGCTCAAAGCCCCCTTGTTCTAACTCTTCAGACCCCACTCCCCTCCCAGATCTGGGGAGCGAACCCAGGAGTCCTGGCTCCCAGCCCACCCTGCTCTAACCCACCAGCCCCCACTCCCCTCCCAGAGCCGGGGAGAGAACCCAGGCGTCCGGGCCCCACGGTACCTGATCCCGTTAACGCAGTCCCGCAGGGCCTGGAACTGCAGCGCAGGTTCCAGCACCGGCTCCGTGTCTCCGGTCGGGGGCTGATCCGTGTCCCACACCGAGACCAGCCCCTCCGTGGTACCGCTCAGCAGGAACCGGCCGCTCCTGGGGGGTGGGGTGGGGGGATGGGACACGGGGGGGGATGACACATACCCAATCCGGCACTTAGAGGCTGCAGCTGGGGGGGTTTATGGCTCCCAGGGTTCCTTGGGCTCCACACCGACAGCGGCTGGGTGTCAGGACGCCTGGGTTCCATCCCCAGACCCCAATAATTATCTGAAGGGGCATTATTAGGGGCGTTACGGTAGCAGCGTTGCCCCGCTCAGCCCCACCGCGAGCACCCCTTCCCGCCCCCCCGAGACAAAGGAAGGCGCCTTACTCCTTTTCTACAGGTGGGGAAACTGAGGCAGGCAGGGAAACTGAGGCACGCAGCCACAAAGCCACGTGCCTTGGCTCGTACCGAGAGCGGGTGCCGGAGCTGGGGAAGAGAACCCAGGAGTCCTGGCCCCCGGGGATGTTGAGGAAGGAGGGAAAGGTCACTCACGGCTCGAGGTCGAAGTAAAGGCGCTGGTTGGTGGCCACGGTGCGGTGCATGGAGAACAGAACCCGGCCCGGGTGCCGCAGGTCCCAGCACAGGATCTCGGGGTCCTGGGGTGGGGGGGGGAGGGAGTGAGCCCAGCAGAAGACAAACCCCCCCCGGACTCCACCCCCAACCGCAGCCGTGTCTCAGGCCCTGCCCCTCTGTAAGCTCCGCCTACCTTGCGCCCGCCGGTGTAGAGCCGGGTGCCGTCGGGGGCGAAGAGGGCGTGGGTGACGCCGCCCTGGTGGCCCTGCAGCATGGCCAGGGGCGCCCCCTCGGCCCGCGAGTACAGCCCCACCGTCCGGGAGTAGGAGGCGCAGGCGTAGAGGGGCTGGAGCGGGCTGAAGGCGATGCAGGAGATGATGCCGCTCTGCCCCTGTTTCTTCACTGCATCGGGGCGGGGGGACAGGTTAAAAAACCCCCAACCAATCCCCCCGGAACAGCCCTCCCACCCACTCCACTCAGCGCCGTTCCGTTAACTCTGGAACCTAATGGTGGCAGGGTGGGAAAAAGTGACACCACCGAGACCTAATCACCTGGTTTAGGTTTGACCCTGCCTGCCCCCCCACCCCTCCAAACCTGGGCGGGGTATTAACTCTGGACTTTAATGATGGCAGTAAACTGCCGGCTCCATTTCACCGCAAAGAGGAGGAGGGGTCGTTCCTCCACCCCCCACAGCCTCCCCTGAGCTGAACGTTGTCACGGGCTCACAGGTCATCCCCACTCTTGGCCCCATACGGTCCCTGGGGGGCAACCCCCTTCAGTGACAGCCCTTCTCGGGGGTCCACTCTCTCCGGGGGGGGGGTCACCTGGAACCGCACCTCTCTGAATCTCTCGCCATGGGCCCCCCCCAGGGAGTCCACTTGCTCTGGACCCCCGCTGC